ACGTCAGTCCCTGGAGCGCACAGCTATGGGTCCATGCCACCTGGGATGACTGCTGCCCATTTTGGACATTTGTTCCTGCAGGTGTTCCTGATCCTTTTAACAGTGCTCGCTCTCTTACTTTAGTGCACTGCTTCTACAACACTCTTTTGCCTGCGGCAAACACTACTGATACACGCTTAAAAGCCTCATTAATTTTTAATATAACATCATTTTCCTTAAGCTTTATACTCCTTTTATGCACATGATCTCTTAAAATCCTATGCGATGTGGAACTGCTGGTTTCCATCCTGCTCACCCTGTCTCCGCAGTGAGGGCCCATTTAAGAGGGAAGGTGGCTATGACACTGTGAGAAAAGGCACCGTTTTTCCAACAGGAAAATGTGTCCCGAGTTGAATTTTATTTCTTTTGATTTAGGGCCCAGCCAATCTCATAAAACCAACTGATAAAATTGTTTGTGAAATGCTGTACGAAGTTATACTGGTTCATTCATCCTCACAGACTTGAGTACCCACATTGGGTGGGACACTAAGCTCAGTGATAAGTCTACTGGAGATTTCTGAGTAAGAAAATGTACTCAGGGTACATCTTCCGAACCTGATGGTTCCACATAACGGGGCACCATGGTTTTCTGCCTTTGTAACTTACAGGCTCTGGCCCTCACTCCTTGTTTGTTTTTGGCAGGGCATATGCAGAATCCTTTTTTCTCTAGAGCAAAGTCTCCTAATTCTCCACCACATAAAGTAGCCAGCCTTCCAAAGCTCCGCAGTGGTGGAGCTTACAAAGCTCTAAACTCTCAGAGCCCATTGTTACACTGACAAGAAGAGTCCAAATAAAAACTGGTCAATTAAGTCAACTTTTATTTAGGCATCAATACCATAAGACATTCCCATCCTACAATTTGTGGACACCAATACTAAGAGAATAGAGCACTGGATACAGATAAATAACTCTTTTAGTAACAACTAAGCACTTGAAAACTTTAAAAACAGGGACAGGTGGGGAAGGGGAGGCTGAGCAGGCTTTATAAAAGGACCATAACAAGAACAGTATCATTTCAATTCAATATAGCAACCAAAGACTTCTTTTTCTGTTAATACTCAGGAAAAAATTTTTCTTTCTTATCATTTTTCAATCAGCAATTAATACAAATATTTGTCTCCTCTCATCAGCTATCCAAGGAATATCTAAAGATAACAGTTTATAGGGATATTGGCTTAATTCTGGAGAATTCAATTAAGTAGTACTGCTTAAATTGTCCCCTTTGAAGGAAATCAATTCAATGAAAATGACCATTTTTGGCTGGTATAGGCCACACACAAGTGGATCCCATTTAATACTAGTTAAAATCATTTTAACATTTCTGAAAATATTAAGTTCAGGAATTTTAAAATAAAACAATTCCTACACAGTATTTCTTATTAAGCAGTCTATTGGAATTGAATAATGAAATAATGTTCATTTTGGGAGATTCAAGGTTAATGAGAATTTATAATGAAATCAGCCCCCTAATTGTTTCATATTAGAAATAACAAAGACTAATCTACTTACATTAAAATACTATATACAAATAATAGTAAATAGTGAAAGTCTTTCAAGATGAAGTTTTACAGGAAAAAAAAGAGGGGAGGGGCTGGTACTTCTAATAGAAACATTTAATAAATGAATGTGATTCTAAGAGTGTTAGTGTCAGGAAATAAGGGATAATTGATGAAATGAGGATGTTTTTATTGGTAATTATTGCTTCAATTATTTTAATTTTTCCACCAGAAGTCTAAAAATTTGTGGTTGAACATACAAAAGATTAATTACTTATGGACCACTTTTAAGAGCAAAGTAAGACATCAAATGAGAATTCTGAAGTTACAATCTCACTTCCAGGCTCGTGTAGAACATGCATCTCTTTTCAACTGTCCAATAAAAAAAAAAAAAAAAATCAAGGAAAGTGTTAGAACTACAGACCAAAAACAAAGTGCTAAGAGTCATTCCACATTTGCCTTATTCTAGAAACAATGTTACACTGCCTCTTAAATTAAATCAGGACTCTCCGTGTCCCTCTGTACATCACAATAGCCATCTACTTTATTTTAGGGTCAACTATTTTATACAAAATCTTGGTTTAATTGCGTTTTAACTGCCAAAATCAACACCATAGTTAGGTTTTGGGAAACAAGAAGGGTGTAACTATTAGCAACACCTGAAAGCTTGTGGTTTGTAGAATTCTAATTTAAACTGCTATGATTTCAGTTTTTGCTTGGGGAAAAAAAGTATATTTATCATTTTCCTGCTCTTAGCTCAAAAAGGATCCTGAAAAATTAAAAAACACATTAAATAGCCACTGAGATTTCAATAGTATTAACTTTACCTGGTGTAAAACAGATGTGTAGGTGTATCAACCTCTTAAGCATACTAACATTGTGCTTATTGGATTGTACTGCACAGGCCATGAAGCCTCATGGTACCTGCCAGTCACCCAGTCTTCTACTGAGAAAGGAAGACAGATGTCTTTAGGAAAAAGTCAGGCTACATTCTGGAGATGGAGGAATGAATCAGAGATAGATGTAGGAGCTGAGAGCAGCCCAATAAGAACAGTCCAGATAGGAATGAGTACAATCTAACCTGATCCTGCCTCCTTGAGGAGGTGGTGTTGTTATCTGGCAGCATATATATCCTGAGTTATGACGCTAAGACTTACGGCAAGAAAGAGAAGCTGTTGCAAGTCTCCTTCTCTACCAAATTAGGGGAGGAACTGCTGAGACTGGTGACTCTGATGGTTGGAGCAGGGCCAGACGTGGTCTTCTTACTGGACTAGATTAAAATCACCACTACAACTTGGCCTACAGCTAACAGTTTGGCTAATGTGTATTGCTGTTCCTGTCTGCCCAGTCCATTAGATGGAATTTCTTTTCAGCTGGCAGGGAAAATAAAATAACTTCATGATCTGACCTCGAGGATCTCTTGACTCTCTAGCTCTGCCATAATCTAAGCTGCAGGAGTAGGCCAACCTACTTTAAGCAGGTACCATTTCTTCAGGAAATAGCTCCTGGCTGGCTGCTAGGTTCTGACAGCAAATGTCTGACACCAAGGGAAACCATATGACCACATCATTAACCCATTTTGACTAGTTTTATCTGATCTACCTAATTACACAGATAGCATGCCTTCAACCAGTAATGTGGTATGTAAACACAGACTGGGCTTATGGAGGTCCCAAAGGCCCAGAATACCTAAAAAGGATAATCACAACTCCTACCCAGTACCTTCACCTGATTCATTGTCTTAGCCCTCAACCCAGGTTATGTCTTCATGGTGGTGTTCCCTATAAATCAGCTGATAAATCTGAGACTGAGTTTGATTCATTTGTGATAGTAACAGCCAAAAATGGACTGCTAAAGCATTATAGCCCCTTCAGGAATGGTACTGAAGGATAACATGATACAGAAGAAACATATTCTGAATTGGCAACATTTCAAGCAGTTGCTTTTATTGTCCATTGCACTTTTCAGGAGAGAAAGCCTAAGGTCAGTTTTTATCAATTCCTGGACAGTGGCTAATGGTTTACCCAGATGGATGTAGATTTGAAATAAGCAAGAATGGAAGATTGCTGACAAGGAGATTTGAGGAAGGATAATGTTAGATGGGCCTCCAGAAACTTATGTCCCATGTGAATTCTTATCAGATTGCCCAGAACTGCAGAAAAGTCTCTTAATAATCATATGGACAGGACTGCATCTATATCTTTCCTCCCCAATTGGATGCTTGCTCAATGGGCTTCTGAGTGACCACAGTGGCAGTGAGAGAGGCTGCATAAGCCAGCAGCGATAGAAGCTAATGGACATGCCCTCTCTAAGGTCAACATGGCTATTCACTACTGGCCAGTACCCACTTTGTCAGCAATATTGACCAATCCTAAGCCCTTTATTTGTTACCATACCTTGAGGGAACCAGTCAGTTATGAAATACCAGGCTAACTACACTGGGACCCTTCCACTGTTGAAGGGACAGTGCTTTCCCCTCATTGGAAATGATACTTATTCTGGATTTGGATTGGCCTTTGCTGTCTCTTGCACCCTTTACACCATACGTGTTTTTATAAATGCCTTGTATATCACCACTACAGTATTACACAGAATGCCTCCACAGACCCACTTCACAGAGCAAGAAGTATCAGACAAGCATCCTGATGTTGACAGGATGCTCTGGACTCATTAGGTCTATCATCAACCAAAAATGGGGCAACAAAATGATAAAAGAGACCATTATGTGCTTAGATTCAATATCAGTTATGGATACCACCTTATACAGGTGGGGTGGTATCTTTCAGGACTGTGGTATTTGCTCTGCCCCAGCAATATATGCAGTACCAGCAAAATATGGTATTGTCTCTCCCACAGCCAAAAACCACAGTTCTAAGAAACAAGGGGTAGAAACATGAGTGGGTTCTCTCAAGATTATAACTAATAATTTATTTTTTAAAAATTGTGTGTTCCTGGACCTATTACTCAGGATCTTCTAGCCCACCTTGCATAACATGTACTAGAAAACACATTAAAATAGGTGATAATTTCTAGAAGGTTAGATTAAAAGTAATTTTATCTTTTTTCTTTGTCATTTTCTAGGTTTTCCCAATTTTCTAAAATGACTGTGTGTTATTTTATATTAAAACATAATTACTAAAGAAAGAAAATTCTGGCTCCAGAAATAGATTTTCATTGAAAACGGCACATAGGGAAAGTAAGGAGTTGCTAACAAAACATATAGGAGACCGAGCTTTCTATTTTCTTTGAGAGTGGTTACTATGCAGTGCTCCAGAGCAATTACCAAAACATGTGAAACTAAGTCTCAACGTCCTTCTCTGTAAAATGAAGATACTATGTATCTCATAAGATGTGTGAAAGAACACCATCAACTGTAACATCCCTAAGGGCATGAGTTATTACTACTGGTGGTAGGTCAGTGTCTACGTGCTTTCAAAACAAAAAACAAGAATAAAAATTAGTTACCTTTGGATTAAAATATCTACAAGATTGTGGCTGGGAGCCTCCAAACAGGGCTATGCGGTAGTCATGTTTCTTTCTTCTGGGCCTTGTGCCTTCTACCAGTTCTTCTCGATCTTCTGGAGACAGTAGATGATACCTCATTCCACCTGTAGAAAAAGACATGGTAACTCTTCAAGAACTTCAGGCACTTTAATGGTTTAAAAAGGCAATACTCAGACATAATCATGCTTTTATTTTTGTCATCTCCCCATAGTATTCAAGCAAAGAGGGAGGGGGAAGAGGCAGGATAAATGTGTAAGGATCTGAGTCCTATCCAATTGATTCTTCTCAGCAATCATCACTATTCTAAGGTTGCCCCACCCACTTAGTATACACCACTGAATTACCTAGGTCTTCAAGCAATAGTTAAATCCGGATGTCCTAATCCAGTGGTTCACAATCTTAACTGTACGCTACAATCACCTAGGAAATCTCTGTAACTATGTACACATGGGCCCTACCACAGACCAATTAAAATTCTCTGATGGCTGGGCCCAGGTACTGGTATTGCCACTTAAAATGTGGTTCAAAGACCAGCAGCTTCAGCATCTGCGAGTTTCTTAGAAATACTGAATCCCAGAACTTACCCTTGACCTAGTGAATCAGAATCTACATATTTAACAAAATCCCAAGGTAATTCAGATGCTCGTAAAACTTTGAGAAGTACCGCCTTAGAGGATTCTAAAATGCAATGAAGATTCAGAACTATTGTGATATAACGGGACCCTTTCCCTTCAGCAATTCCTTAATTTCGTCAAGGGCCACTTAACAAAAACTGTTGTAAGGTATCACCTTCAATCAGTGTGGGAAAAGGTGGATAATTCAATAAAAGATGTTAGACAATAATATGGAGAAAAAATTGTACCCCTACCTCATATTTTACTTTAATGTAAACTCCAAATCAACAGAATATTTGAATATGCAAAATTTCATAAATGCACTAAAAGAAAAATATAATAGTTAAAAAAAAAAAAAAAACAGGCCCAGAATCAGGAAGCCTAAGAAAAGACAAAACACACAGAAGCCATGAAAAAGATATTTAGACTTAACTACATAAAATTTCAGGGTAAATTACTGCATGGCAAAAAGAAAAAACAACCAAAAGATAATGACAAAATAGGAAAATATTTATTAATCATATAAAAGAAATATAAAAGATACCCCATTGCTTAATAATAACATTAAGACCACCAACTTAATAGAAAATTAAATGAAGTATCTGAACACAGTTCACAGAAAAAGAACCTTAACAACTTTTTTTTTTTTTTTTGTGAGGAAGATTAGCCCTGAGCTAACATCTGCTGCCAATCGTCCTGTTTTTGCTGAGGAAGACTGGCCCTGAGCTAACATCCGTGCCCATCCTCCTCTACTTTATATGTGGGACGCCTACCACAGCATGGCTTGCCAAGCATTGCCATGTCTGCACTCGGGATCCGAACCAGGCAACCCTGGGCCGCCGAGAAGCGGAACGTGTGAACTTAACTGCTGCACCACGGGTACGGCCCCTCAACAACTCTTAAACATAGGAAAAGATGCTCAAGTGTTCAAGTCAGAGAAACACAAATTAAAATCATACTTTTTCACTCATCAGATTGGCTAAGATCAAACTGTCTAAAACACAGTAGATGATAAAGCGGGGAGAGGCAGCACCCTCCTACACTGCGGGTGGGGATGTGGATGGGTACAAACTATCTGGAGGGCAATACAGCATGATCCATGAAAATTACAAATGCCCTTGAGCCCAAGAATGCCCCTTCTAGGAGTTGATCAACCTAAAGTACACTGTCAGGGAAGTGGCTAAAAAATGTGGCTATTGAGAAGAATGAGAAATAGTAATATGTACACGTGTACACATGGAATGATCTCCAAGAAATAATGTGGAATGAAAAAAAGCAAGATACAGAACAGTATACAGAGTGTGATATCATTTGTTTTAAAAATTTACATTGTTTATGCATATCTACACACATTTTATACATAGTAAGTTATACATGCATATGCAAGAAAACGACTGTGTACACACACTTACACCTCTGGAAGGACATACAAGATAATAATGGTAACCTCCAGCATGAGGGGACGAGTGGATAGGGAACAGGGGTATCAGACTGACTGACTTTTCACTCTATACCCTTTTATACCTTTTTGAATTATACTTGGTGTGCAGTACGTATTACTGGCCCCAAAATAAAACAAACAATTGTAAACAGCACATGCAAAAACACTTCTGAGGCTGTGTTGGCCTTTATAAGAGGAATAGAGAGAGGACAGGTTTGGAGAATAGTTTGTGAGTGAATGAGCATCAATATTTAGCATTTCCTTCCATTTCAGAGTGTGAGTAGCAGCCCTGGCATTAGAACAGCTAGAAACCTCAGCAGCCAAGGCTCTGGTGCGTGTTCTAGGTCAGGGGTCAAACTTTGTCTATAAAGGGCCAGAGAGTACATACTTCAGGCTTTGCAGGTCACATATGGCCTCTGTCAGATATTCTTCGTTTGTTTTTCACAATCCTTTACAAATGTAAACACCACAGCTCAAGGCTGGCTTAACCATGTGGGGTGCAGTTTGCTGACCTCACTCCCCACTCCTCCTGCTCTAGGTCTAAGACAGGGGCGTTTTTTTTTGAAAACTGGCCCTGAGCTAACATCTGTGCCCATCTTCCTCTACTTTATACGTGGGACACCTACCACAGCATGGCTTGCCAAGTGGTACAATGTCCGCACCCAGGATCTAAACCAGCAAATCCCAGGCTGCCGAAGCAGAATGTCCGAGCTTAACCACTGCGCCACCAGGCTGGCCCCCAAGACAGTGGTTCTTAAAGTGTGGTTCCCTGATCAGCAGCAGTAGCATCACCTGGGGACGCTAGAAATCCAAATTATTGGACACTACCCCAGACTTTCTGATTAGAAACTCTGGGGTTTGAGTGTCACTGTTCTAGAAGGTTCCACACAGGCCACAGGAATCTGTGGAATCTATGAGCACAAACCCCCAACAAGTGAAGACAGGTGGCAGGGAAGGAAACAGGAGGGAACTGTTTCTAGGCAACAAGCCATTGGGTAAAAGTGGCTGACTATGGTCAACTGTGCTGAGCTGCGACTCCTTCACTGAGGGGTTTTTCCTCTCCAAGGTCAGGGCTGAGCACAAACACTCTGGCACCTTTCTGGGTGGTGCTCTTTGCTCCTTAGGCTTATTCCTTCAGGAGTTATTCCTTTGAGAGTTAGGTATGGTCGTTTGCAAATCCTGAGTAAGAACTTTGGCCCCTGGAGTGACTCTGACTCTGTTCTTCATTTCTATTTTATAGCTCATTTCCGTTTAGTTGTAAATTCTTTTACTTTAGTTTTATTCTATTTTTCTTCATCTTTTCTGTTTTTCTTCTACTCTCAAAAGGCAGCACTAAGTCAGATGGTAGGAAGATAACTGATGATCTGAAGAAGGGAGGCTAGAGGCCTTCTTCTCCCCATTTAGCTCTGCCTAGGCCCCAAAACCTGGAAGAGTTTCAGCTGTTTGCATTTAGTCATAGAGTTATAAAACAACTGATTGCTCTTTATTTTTAAAAAAAGGAAAAGAAAAATTTAATAAGCTTAGTAAATCAAAAACTAAACAAAACTTCCTGCTCAAGTGGCTAATCTCTACACTTTGGTGAATTTCTGCAATAATTCTGCTATCTTGTTTCTAAATCAATGCAGAATTCACGTAACGCTATACTCTGACTGAGACTGGGTAACTGTCTTCAACAGCTCACGCATGTATGAAGCAAGGGGCAGCTCTCAACCCAATCAGACTCTCAGGCCAGAAAAATAACACACGGTTTGGGAATGGAGACATAACAAAAAATCTGATATTAACACGTATGAAATCCAAAAGATGAAACCTTTGCTCTAATGGCATCTTTTTGGTCCTGGTTTTTTGACATCTCTCTACACTTAGGAGGCTAGTTGCCATTTATGGCTAAACTTCTTAAAACTTTCTCTACTCCTTGGTTTTCAAGACACCAGCTTGGTTCAAGTAGCTCTGTGAATTCTTCTTTCCTGATTCTTTTCCTCCTTCCACGCCTTAAATGTAGATATTCATAAGGAAATGTCCTTGACTCATACCCTCTTCTCTTTTTCCCTAGATAACCTTATCTAGGTTCAAATACTCCTAGTCTGTTTTCTTTAATTTCAGTTTTATTTAATGAAAAGGTATTATACACTGTTTTATGCTTTTGTCACTTATGAAAATTTTCCACATTATTATTCATCCAAAATATTTTTAGTAACCATAGAGCATTCCATTGTATGGATATATCACAATATTTTTCCAATCTAAGGGACAATATTGGGTCAATTTACCTAAAACCACAGCAGTAGCTGTGTGGTAAGTCTAATGGAAATTTTACTTAACTTCCAGAGCAAGAGACACTATTTAATAATTAGGACACTGAAATGTATTACCACTCTTGAGAACAATATCTTAGGCAGGAGTGAAAGAGTTCATTCCTCTTTTATTTATTTCCTTAACTTTGTGCCTGAAACGAGCTACACAATAAATGAAATTTAAGATGTCCAGATGAGGTACCAAAAAATAACTTAAGGGTTCAAAGTAGGTTCAAACTCCCTTCTAGGGGAGGCTTTCTAATTCATCGCATATAAATTGAAATCTGTACTGCTGCCCCTTTGATGGATACTGTCCATGTGGTTTTTGGTTTAGGACGAATTCAAGAAGAGTCCAGGGTGGGGCCAGCCCCATGGCCCAGTGGTTAAGTTCACCCGTTCCACTTCAGCAGCCCAGGGTTTCACCAGTTTGAATCCTGGGTGCTGACATGGCACTGCTCATCAAGCCATGGGGAGGCAGCATCCCACATGCCACAGCTAGGAGGACCCACAACTAAAAATACACAACTATGTACCAGGGGGCTCTGGAGAGAAAAAGAAAAAAAATCTTAAAAAAAAAAAAAAAAAAAAAAGAAGAGCCCAGGAGAGTTAGCAGGAGTATACTTAACTAAGCATATCATAGTCATTACATATTTCATGCCTGTTTAAAAGACAATGTAAACTTCCACTTACAGTAGTACGACAGATTAGACTTTCAGAAATACCTCCCTGCTACAAAATAACTATAATGCTGGAAA